TTGCTACAATCTTTACATTTGTAGGGCTTCTCTCCACTGTGAGTTCTGCTGTGCCTAAAAAGGTCTGTTTTTTGACCAAAAGCTTTGCCACATTCATCACATTTGTAGGGCTTCTCTCCAGTGTGAGTTTTCCTGTGGCAAATAAGGTTTGATTTTCGACCAAAAGCTTTGCCACATTCTTTACATTTATAGGGCTTCTCCCCAGTGTGAGTTCTCCTGTGGTAAATAAGGCCTACTTTTTGACTGAAAGCTTTGCCACATTCTTTACATTTGTAGGGTTTCTCTCCACTGTGAGTTCTGCTGTGGTGAATAAGGTTTGATTTGGCAACAAAAGCTTTGCCACATTCTGTGCATTTGTAGGGCTTCTCTCCACTGTGATTTCTGCTGTGGCAAATAAGCTGTGATTTGTGACCAAAAGCTTTGCCACATTCAGTACATTTGTAGGGCTTCTCTCCAGTGTGTGTTCTCCTGTGGTAAATAAGGTATGATTTTCGACCAAAAGCTTTGCTACAATCTTTACATTTATAGGGCTTCTCTCCAGTGTGTGTTCTGCTGTGGTTAACAAGGTGTGATTTGTAATGAAAAGCTTTGCCACAATCTTTACATTTGTAGGACATCTCCCCAGTGTGACTTTTGCTGTGGTAAATAAGGCCTTCTTTTTGACTGAAAGCTTTGCCACATTCTTTACATTTGTAGGGCTTTTCTCCAGTGTGAGTTCTGCTGTGGCGAATAAGGTTTGATTTTCGACCAAAAGCTTTTCCACATTCTTTACATTTGTAGGGCTTCTCCCCAGTGTGAGTTCTGCTGTGGTAAATAAGGCCTACTTTTTGACTGAAAGCTTTGCCACATTCTTTACATTTGTAGGGCTTCTCTCCGGTGTGAGTTCTGCTGTGGCGAATAAGATTTGATTTTCGACCAAAAGCTTTGCCACATTCTTTACATTTGTAGAGCTTCTCTCCATTGTGGGTTCCTCTGTGGTAAATAAGACCTTTTTTTTTACTAAAAGCTTTGCAACATTTTTCATATTTGTAGGACTTCTCTCCAGTAAAAATTCTCTGGTGGTGAACAAGGCCTGATTTTTTATATGATTTCTGGTGTTCACTCTCACTGGTAGTTTTCCATATTTTCTTTTGTTGCAAATAGTCAAGATCACAACTTCTATATTTTGCACTTATCACTTCATTAAATATATGTTTTAGGTCCTTTTCTGGTGAATATTCTTGGGTGGGATTAGAAGTCATGGCTGAAAAAAACAAAAATTTTTAAAAAACCAACAATACTTATTAGACTGGGATAAATATATTTTGCATACATAACATGAAATTAAGGTAAAATAAGTACATCAGAAATGTAGCAGATTAGTAAGTCCAAAGTCACCATAAATCAAAAAAATATACATTACTTCAATAAAAATGTACAGACAAAATTACCTTGAGAGTATTACCCAAATTTTTGTAGAGACCACAGTAACCAAGAGGAGTACATCATTAAAAAGAGTAATATAATAAAGTGTAGTTAACAACCTTCTGTCCTTCGTAAGATAGTATTGTGTATTTAGGAAATATCTACCAGCTACCTTCACTGTCAGTAGAATAAGAGAAATGTAAAACATATACAAACATTTCTGGCTTTTTCAAATAGTGTTCAAAACATGGTTTTTGTCTACCGTGACATAGAGACATGAAAATAACTAGTAGATTTTGAGTGATAATACCATAAATATTCAACAAGGGTAAAGAGGCAGTGGACTCTTAAAAAGAAATATGAACAAAAAATTTACTAAGAAACATATTCATATATGTCTATAAAATTTTTTATAAAAAACATTTTAAAAGACTATAAAAACCTTGCATAGCCTACGGCCACAATACTTGGATGAATTCAACACATGACCATCAAGTATAATAAATTGATTTTTATATTTTTACATTCGTGTGATATGAGAATTTCCCTTATTGACAAATACAACTTTGTTTATTTATAAATATATCATGGTATTTTATACTATATATACAAGGTAAAATGACTAAATAGAATGAATTAACACAATCATTATTTCACATAATTATCAGTTTTGTTCTTACAAGGTATTGTATTCATTCTACTAGTATTTATGAAGAACATAATACACTCACCATTAGGTAAAATAAAACTCTTCACCCTATTATGCTCAATAAAATAAAAATATGGAGACTTTGACTATAATATCAACCCTACATAAAACATAGTACCTGGTGAGCAAAATTTTGCTCACTAAATTTCTGACTTCCACATGTGAATCAAATGCTCCTACAACTTAATATCTGCCTGCCACCTTTCATTTAATTGAAAGTCCTGCATATATTTCTTATAACACTTTAAGAGACAAAATATTTTATAACTAAATAATAATAGTATATAGGTACATATTTTTACACATTTGACATTGATGGGCACACACATTGAGTCCCTAGCTTTAATACTGAGAAAAATGTTTGCACTAACACAAAAGCAGAGGTATCTCTTCAATTTTCAGATTTAATTGTTCATGGATACATATTTAGTACTGGCAATTCTGGGTCTTTAGGTCATCCAACTTTTAATGTTTCATGTGTAATGCTTGAGATTACTCCAAAAATTCTATATCACGAACTACAACACAAGTCTTTTTAAAATTGTTTGAGCCATGCTGTTTCTAAATTTCTGTGACTTCTCTCAAACATGAAGTACTTTTGCATGGCCTCCCAATTAGCAAATATTACAAGGATGCAGCACTGTTCTTGCCTATTTTTATTTATTTAAAAGTTTTTATACTTTTTTCCCAAAAAATGGACTATATAATCTACTGATGGCTCCTTTAATGAACAAATAAAAAATAGTACAGCAAATATAAACAACGAGAAGCATGGATAAATCCAAGTGACAAAAAAAGAAAAAAAAACATTAATAATTTAACATTAGGATACTGACAGTTATGAATTACTCAAAGAAAACTAAAAAACTATTTTCAAAAGTTTAGAGAGTGAAATTGAAAAATATTAACATCAATGAGCACAATGTTTATGTGAATAATTCTTTAAGAAAAAAATGAGAGGGGTATTTCTAGTGTGCAAATCTGAAATTCTACCAATATGGGAGATGCTTATCAAGCAGTACCAAGTTTAAGACAAGTCTAAGCAAATTGTAAAATACTATAAAAATTAAAAATCATTGCATTTTGTGTAGGATTGATATTATAGTCAAAGACACAATTTTAAATATATACATATATGAAGTGTGAAAAGAATCCAAGCATGCCACAATAAAAAAACAATGATCCAGAAATTAAATCAGTAATCAAAATAGAAAAAAACAAAAATATAAAAAAATTACAAAGTAGAAGTATAATGATTTATTCACTTCAAAATATTTATGATTACTAATGCATTATTGCAAAACACAAAACAAAAGAAAAAAAAATTACTAACAGAATTGAATTTTAAAAAAGAAAATGTCAAGTCAGTTCTAGCAGAGAGCATGGAAAGAAACCAAGCATGATCTGCTCCTAGAGGCCCTATTTGTTTAAAGATGAATAATGCCCCTGCCTTTACATCTCATCCTTTTGCACAAGTTTTAATCAATGAGATATAGTTTTAAATCATGAAATTTCTCATAATTCTTTTGGTCGAGCTTTGGTTGAGTGAGAAAATTGTATCCTAATACTTGCCTTTTAAAACAGAAACAAAGATCTAGCCTCTCTTATATTAATATGTATTAAATATTGTTTTATTTACAGTTAATGTGCTCAATATACAACATAAAGTAAATACTCAAAATTGGTCATCTGCATTGAATAGACATTTTATTCTCAAACAGTCATTACCAAAAAAATTATGTAATATATGAGGTTCCACCTCACCAGCATGACAAGATCCTATGCCTTTGATCACATGCCAACATGTCCTGTTTGGACTCTAGCTTCATGTATGAAAAATAGCAATTATAAATGAACATCAGGGACTTCACAAGCTGATCTCCAAGTTTCATTTAACCCTGGATGAGAAGAGTCCATCCAAACAAGAGAATAATTATTCTCAAAAGAGGAGATACATTAAAAGAGGACCCCAAGATACTTGAATTCTAGTTACTTGAGGGGGGGAGGGGTATAAAACCATTAACAGCCTCAGCTTAACAGGTGTTGGCTAAAATGGGGTTAGAATGTACTCTAGATAATTTTGTTACTTCTTTGATTGCTAAACTCACACAAAACTCTGTAAATGTTGCTCTGTGTTTTGTACACCAGCTGTGGGAAATTCAGTACTGTCAGATCCTGGACTTCTACAACCCATTACAATATCTTGACTCACTTGCATGAAATTGTTATATACTTATAAAAATGTCTCATGGTATTCATTGTTGTCTTAGCAGAATAATGTGTCCTTACCATCCACATAGTATTTAATAGGTCACCATCCTGTGGAATTTATTCATAAAAGGTCTATTGCTCTTGATAAAAACTGTAATGATTCAGTAGTTGTGCAAACTACTATGAAACTCGCCTATGCTATCATAAACAGTATTAATCATGCCTCCATGGATGTAAATAGGCTTAATGAAGAACAAAAACAACATTGTCAAGCCATACTTGACAATCATGCTGCAATTGATTTTGTGTTATTGTTACATCATAAAGGATATCAGAAGTTTAATAACATGTGTTCCTTCAATTTAAGATATAATAGTAATTTTATTTCAAAAGACTTAGATTACCTTAAAGATATAATTAAGAAGGTTCAACAAGATGATGGATGTTTAGACTTGTTGGAATAGCTAACTTCATGTTTACTCAATTTCATCTGGGTCAAAAATATTCATTGGTGGATGTTTACTGATGTTGGAACTTGCTGTTGTCTATGCCTGCCCTATTTTTTGCCCCATCAGCATTAAGGAGATAAGTAATATTATTTATTCAAAAGGCCTTTAAAAAGTGGGGAGGTATTAGGTATTCTGACCTTGGAAATAGACAGGAAAGTGTGGGGGTGATGGTAACTGGCACCCTGAGTCCCACAATTGTAATGCCCAGCAGTTTCTCCCTGAAGCTATTAAGACAACTCTATAGGTGCACTATCTAGTTTCTGTGGTAATGTCCTCAGGGAGAAGGGGCTCTTTATTTGTATTAACTGTACCCACTCTTGGTTATCTAGCACTTGGGGTTAAAGAAACACTGGGTTAGAATGTAGTCATGGTATCAGAAGCTATGTAATTTTGGGGTATTATATGTGCAGCTGTTAAGAGGCATGGCCAGTTTTTTTTTTTTTCCTTTTTACTGTGTGTGTGTCTCTCTCTTCTGTTTTCTTCTTTAAAGGCTAACTCAAAAGAGGATTTGAAACATATCATGCTGTCCCTCAAAACAAAAGGTAAGTTTTGGTGGTTAATCTGAATAAACTGGGACATCACTAAAGAAGAAAATAGAGAACAACAATAAATTTGAAAATGTGATAAATATAGGGCAGTATGTACTCAATGATTACAATCAAAATAAATAAACCTAAGCTTCTGAAAATTTCTTCTGCTGGATAACTACTCTTTCAACATTTTTTAGTTTGGTTTTCTCCTTGACATTTGAATGACTCAACTGTGTCCCCTGCTATGTGTAGTACAATAGTTTACATCACTAAATTATACTAGGTACTACTTATCTAAAGTGAAGGATGTATAAAGAGTAAAATTATATCTATATCTATCTATCTATCTATATATCTATATCTATATCTATCTATCTATCTATATATATATATATATATATATATATATAGAGAGAGAGAGAGAGAGAGAGAGAGAGTGTAAAATATCTGTATAAAAATGCCCTTTTTTTTTGAAACAAAAATCTGAAACTCATTCTTATTGAGAAGTTCCCAGAAGATACACTGCAACAGAAGTAAATTAAATAATAATTATTAATTAAAAATTTTAAAGGGAAATTAATCTTACCCAGGAAGGCCAAGTTTCTATAGTTCTCTAGCATCACATCTCTATATAAATTTTTCTGAGCAGGCTGAAGGCATTCCCACTCCTCTTCAGTAAAATCAATGACTACATCCCTGAATGTTAACAGTTCCTAAAATAAGAATAGGTAAATAAATAACACATTGACCACATGAACATTTGCACAGTCTGTAATGTTATTGAAGTTGAAATGAGAGTTAGTAGACTATCATGTAGGTGGTGTTTTGGAACACCATGATACTATTATCTACTTCTGCAGAAAAAGTGATTAAAGTTCAAAAAAGTATATATACTCCACATTTATGAAACACAATATAAAACTCAGGCATTACCCTAAAAATATATATATTTTCTAATTTTCTATATCATGATCTAAATTATGTATATTATTCAGGTGAGAAAATTATGGTAATTAAGAAAGGAAATCCTCAAATTTTAATTGTACAACCACTAATCAGAGATTTACTAATGTGTAGAATCTTATTTGTTATTTCTCTGATAGAGTTGGCTGTTCTGAATGCGTAGTGAGATCTCTAGTAATTCCAATACCAATGGTATAAGAAAAATTTTGAAATGTAACAAGGTAGACAGACCACTTAATGGAAATATTTATTAGTTTATTTAAGTTGAAACATTTTATAGTATTTATGTATGTTATTAATATAAAAATAGCAACAATAATTCTGTTTAAATTTTCCTTTTTATAATTTAAGATTTTTAACATACTATATAAATATGAACTTTATATATAAAGTTCATATATATATTGATTGATTGATGTTTATATTGTATGATATTTATATAGAATATACATAGAGCTCTTCAAACAAATATAATTTGTTTTTTATTTTATTGGTTCTTTCTAGTTCTACTTGACAGTAAAATCGATTTTTATGGTATTATCCAAGCATGGGATATATCTTATCCTAATAAAAATTCTGTTCTTGTTGGTGGAGACGATGGTAGATGCCAGTGTCTTGGCTTGGCACTGAATCACGAGCCACCACACACCTTGTAGATTCAAACAGCAATTCTTTATTCTGGAACTCACACCGGCCCTGTACAAACACGTTCTGGGGCAATCCCAGTTCTGTCCGCCCAATTTACCTACTCCACGAGGCTTTTTTCCAAATCCCATTTTAATCTCATGAGAACTCAACGGGAACAAGCAGCAGGAACACCCTAATCCCAGCAGCAATAATCTTCAACCTCCAACTTCCCTAAAACCCCTATTGTCTTAAACCGGGAATGCCTTAAAATTGTCTTAAACTGGGAATGCCCTAAACCCAAATTATCTTAAACATGAATACTTCTTAAAGCCTGCAGGATACACCCTAATCCTAGATCCACCCTGGTCATTCAGTAGGGTCACCTTTCTCAAACACACATGCAATGTCACAGCAAATTTCCAAGGCAAGTCCATTTAACATGGGGTACCCTGGCAAGGAAATATCGATGCGTCATTCCTACTTGGCAATGGCCCTCAGCATCTCTGCGTCATTCCTACTTGGCAATGGCCCTCAGCAGGTAGAATTTACTTAGAGATATATATTTTATATTTCTATCCCTGTCCCTTTTATTTATTCATTTATTTATTTTTTGTTTACTATTGTGCAACCTACTGATCTTCTTTTCTTTCCCTTCCCCACTTTATAAGCTTTAGATTTCACATATCAGCAAAAACTTTCAACCTTTGGTTTTAAAGAAATGGTTTGTTTTACTTAGCATAAAATCTCCAGATTCATCCATTTCCTGGCAAATGCCATAAAGTCATTCTTCTTTATGGCTGATTCATAGTTTATTGTGTACATAAGCAATAGTTTTTTATCCTGTCATCATTGAATGGACTAATTCATCATTGAATGGTTGGTTTTATAGCTTAGCTATTGTGAATTGTGCTGCTATAAACATTAATGTGATTGTGTCAATGTAGTATGCTGATTTTATGTCCTTTGAGTATATACAGTGCAGTCGAAAAACTGGGTAACATTATGGTTCCATTTCTTTAGCAATATCCATACAGGTTATTATGTTTCACTTAGACCTCCGTACAGCTGCAAAAATTGGAATTCATCTATAACTAAGGTGAAAATAAAACATAAAAAATATTAGTAATCCACAAAATGATTAGAATTTATTATCGAATTATCCATCCCAATAAAAAGTAAAATTTAAAAACTAAAAGTAAAGAAAGTCTTAAGCAAAAGAGCAAAATTAGAGGCTATTAAAGATAAACATAACACAGAGTTACCAATATCAATGTTGATGCTTTTAAAAAGCAAATGAGCCCAGTCTAGTGATGGACAACCGTAGTTCCAGTGACTGAGGAGGATAAGAAAAAAAGGATCATAAATTCTAAGACAATACTATATATAATATTGTCTTATATATATTGTATTGAGCTACTTAGTGAGGCACTTAGAAACTCTGTCTCTAAATAAAATATAAAAAAAAAAGGACTGAGGATGTGGCTTTATTGTTAAGCACCCCTGGGTTCAATATTCAGTACAAATAAAAAAAAAAAAAAAGCAGATACAATTAAAAAAGAAAGCACTAGCAAATTTGAAAATTCAACAAATAAAAATTATATCAATTGTGCAGTGTATAATTGCAAATATAGGCCTATATAATGATTTCTCATTTTATAGAAATACACTCTGGAAAATTTATCCTAAGAATCTTGTGCAATTTTCCAATTCTCTGAGTGCAATGACAGAATCTAGATGGTATAGACTAGTACATGGCAAAAATATTTGTGAGATCCATGATTGTACATAAAGTCTACTGTTTTCCAAAATACCATGATGCCACATGATTGATGTTATGAAGTAAAATCAATCAGGGTAAACCTCATAATAAAATAAATGGTAGAACTACAGAAAACACCAACAACAAAACTCTTAAAACATGCTAGGATATTGGGAAAACAGTGTAATAATAAAATGCTATTTTATCCCTTCACTCATAAAACATAACAACATATTTTGACACACTAAATGGTGAATATAAGTTATTAATAAATAATACTGAAATATTTAAGAAAGTACAAAGCTCAAAAGTTTACATAATAGGGTTCATATGGTGGTTCACACCTGAAATATCTACTATTCTGGAGTCTAAGGCATAAAGTTCAAAATTTAAGGCCAACTAAAGAAATTGAGCAAACCCCATCTAGAAATAAAATTTAAAACAGAGCTGAGCATATGCTCAGCATTAAGACACTTTGGTTGAATCCCTAATATCACAAAAGAAAATAAATAGGTTTTTTTTTCAAAATTATAGAATAGGCTTAAACTTATGAATTACAAAATATTAATACAAAAAATATATATTCATCAAATGATTACATTAAAAGGTGCAAAATTGACAAGGTAATAAAAAATCTTTCCTCACATATAATCAAACGCTTATAAGAAGAAGAAATAATACAGATTGCAAAAGAAAAACAGAAAAAGTTCTTGAAGAGTCACCTTAAAAAGGATACACCTAAGTGTTCAATAATCATAAAAACAAAATCTTTAGAAATTAGGTAACATTGAATAAAATCACATCATATAGATGAATTAAATAGCATTGATGAATATGTGGAATAAATGCATTTACAAAAGAGAAAAATAATAATTAAGCTTTTATTATCCATTTGTAGAAACTGTTTTGTAATAAAATGTATATGATACACCAACACAGGAAACAGAGACTAAAATTATAGCAACTGTACATGAGAATACAGCCATATTCTTCCAGCGGTGAAACCAAGGGGCATGGCTAAAGAGGAAGAAATAATTATTAAATTTTGTAAACTGTAAATTCTAGGAGCTAGAATTTTTGTTGATGTATTATATCCAGTTTCACAAATACTATAAAATACCATGTATGTTTTATGTTGATGTCACATGAATGTTGCATTTCATACGCAAGTATGTTTACAAAAGAAATATGCAGTATTTGAGAAAATAAAAATACAGAAAAGAACATAAAAGACTCAAATACTCAACATATTTACAAAGGATAAAACTATTATAAAAATGATCATTTTCCCAAGGTACCCTTTAATAATAACTGGTCAAAATTTTAGCATTCTTTACCTTTTGTTAAAGAAGAAATCAAAGCAAAAACTTCTAAAATTTTCCTGGAAAGATAAATGTATATAAAATTAGGCAAGAACTCTCTCATATATAAGAGCAAATGTGGGCTGGGGATGTGGCTCAAGCAGTAGTGCGCTCGCCTGGCATGCATGCAGCCCGGGTTCAATCCTTAGCACCACATACAAACAAAGATGTTGTCTGCCGAAAACTGAAAAATAAATATTAAAAAACAAAAATAAGAGCAAATGTACTAGTGATCATTACCTGACACTAATGCATGTTATAATATTACAAGAGTATACTAATTTTAACATAAAGAAATCACAATATAGAAAAGTACATAGGGCAATTCATATGTATGCAAATATCTTTTTATTGTTAATTATTATAAGTACATAAATCAAAACATATCAATAAAATATTTAATGTAAGTGAATGCCACAATCCAACCTCAAGGTAGATGTTAGAATAAAAGGCATAGATCACAAGAAGGGACTTGTGTGCAGAATGTGTGTGACATTGGTATTATACACAAGCATCCACCAAATAGCAGATATAAAGAGAGATATTTTTTTAAAAAATAAAACAAAAATAAATAAAAGCAGAATATAAATCTCCCTCCATTTATGGATACACCAAATAAGTATATACTCCTGTATTGAGTCCTTCTTAAAACTGTAAAAGAATTAGAGGCACACACATTGGAAAACTGGAAAAAAAAATATCTACCAAGAGATGAGTAGAATGCACTTGAAGATTTTCCTGATTTGAGCAATATGCAAAATTACTGGAACGAAATGCCTGAATCCAGTGTTAATATAAATAAAGGAAGATTCATTTGAATTTGAAATATATTATTTAACTCTAAATTGCCTGTAGTTTGAATGTTAATTTATCTGTACACACAGAGGAAGGAATAAGATATGCATGAGTATCAACTCCAGGGGGGAAAAATAAGTGGTTTTCTATGGCCATGCAAGATCCATGGGCTTTTTTCCATTAGACCAGAGGGGAAGAGGTGTTAAAT